ATCTTAGCTGTGGAGGGCAGTGTCACTGGCCCTCATATGTGGGATCCGAACCGGGGCCCTCTGGCGTCCCAAGCCAGTTCTTAACCATCCTGCCACTTGGCCGGCCCTCAAAAGTTTTTGTAGATGGATTACCTCCTGACCCAGTGAGAGAGGGAAATAAAATTTCATGTTGTCCCTTCCTTCTCAAATCCACACCAATTGTTTGTTTATCCTCTTTCTTCCAAGGATAGCTATTGCCTCTGTCCTAAGAGCTTGGCTTGGCTTTCTGCCTGCCTGGGACTTGCAGGCTTTCAGTTCTTTTCTTTGGCTATCAGAGGGAATGACTCTGAAAGTTAATAGCCTTTGCACCTTCTTGAGTCCATGGAATCATTTAATGCTGTTAGAAATATTTACTGTTTGTCCTGGCTGAAACCTGATAAAATATTTGAATGGATTTAATAACTTTTGATCAGAACTTTGGTAAAATTGGAAACTGAAGATTCAGAGCCTGATAGAAAAAATTTTAAAGGCCTCCTCCCCTAAGTTAAAATAAAACTATATTCAGAGGGAAAGAAGCAAATTAGGGATGATGTGGTTGGACAGGTAGGTCAGCCCATGACATCACTTGAGAAACAGGGCAATTGTCCATATCTTACAAATCTTTGCAAAAACCAGAAGTGCAGCTCTAGAAGTAGTTCAAAACCCACCTATCTTCACCATCCCCAATTCCTAAGACTGAGAAAAAAAACACGGGAGATGAGGGTGTTTTTGAAAACACTGCTTCCCTGGCCTCAAGGCTCCCTTGCTAAGGACAAATACAAATCTTAATTGTCTTTTCCAATAAGAAAAAGCCTTAACTGGGCCTGCCGAGTGGAGCGTTGGTTAAGAGCTGGCTTGGACGCCAGCTCTGAGCAGCAGGGTCTCGGTTTGGATCCCATATGAGGGCCAGTGACACTGCCCTCTACAGCTAAGATGGTGAACAACAGCTTGACCTGGAGCTGGGCTGCTGTGAGTCACCGGCAACGACGTAGGCTGCAGTGGGGCTGCAGTGAGCTGCCATAAGCTACTGTGAGTGGCCGGCAGCCAGTGTGAGCTGCTGTCCAGAGGCCGGCGACTGATCTGCCTCACCCAGGAAGAGCGCAATGATCACAATACCAACATGGGCCAGTGAAGCGACATCCTCCACAACT